AAAAAACAAGAAGCTGCTTCTCTGATCCATATGACCATACCCATTAATAACCTGTAAGGAAACATCTAGAAAGTAGAGATTCGAACAAAGGGGGGAATTCCCACCATCCTAATCCAGTAGAAACAGTGGATAAACTGAAAACATCAGCTTCTTGACCATCCTAAAGATCCCAACCACGCAATCGAGCTCTATATTTAGTGATGATAACCTTGTGAACTTCCAGAGAGGGAAGGAACACAATCCGAGTTTTGAATCTAATGGAGAATCGTCCAAAATCACTTGGACATTGGCAAAAAAATCACTTCAGCCTACATTTTCTAACGCTGGACTAAGAATAGACCATCCATTGACTCAAGATTCTACTTTCCTTGATGAGACCACTAATGACTCCAATCCAAATCAAGATGACGTAAGATTCCACAGCACCAAGCAGAGCATATCCAGTAAATGACGAATCTTGTAAAATTTTGAACAACAGAAAACGCACCTGGCTTGAAGAATATCGACAACCCAAAATCAATGGCTTTAAGCGGCGAGTTCTCCTTCTTGTTGGCGAACAAGAAATTCTCCGGCTTCAAATCTCTGTGAATGACGCCGTGCTTGTGGCAAAGCTGGACGACCTCCACGATCGTCCTGGTGACGGCCGCAGCGGCGCGTTCCGTGTAATGCCCCCTCGCGACGATCCGATCGAAGAGCTCTCCTCCTTCGCAGAGCTCCATCACCAAATGCACGGCATTATCGTCCTCACAAGCTTCCTTCAGACTGACAATGCTCGAACTCTTCGGCAGATGCTTCATTATCGCTACCTCCCTCCTCACATCCTCTATGTCCACGGCAGTTCTCAGCTTCCGCTTCGAGATCGACTTGCACGCGAGAAGCTCGCGGCTGGACTGCTCGATGCACAGGTAGGTCACGCCGAACTCGCCGCGGCCGAGTTCTCGATCCACCAAGTACCGTTCCTCGATGTTCTCCTTGGGGACATCGGTGAGAACCCGAATCGGCGCCGATTTTTTCCCCAATCCGCCGTCTTTCCGCCCGTGATCATGACCGGAAAAGCTCGATTTGACGTCCTCTCTAGCGACCGCTGCCGGAGATCTGCAGCAGTTTCCCATCTCTGGCAGCTCAGCCGCTGTTCGGCCACGAACAAGTACAGCAGCACAAACTACAGATCTCTCAGTAAAATCCTAACTCGAATTCAGTAAAGCTAGGGTTTCACATTCTACCATTGGAGTTGTAGCAGTGAATCTACGAAATATAGAGAGGGAGACATTAGATTGAAGAGGAGCAGCTTGAGGCTGAGCAAAGCTTCTTGCTTTTGATATTTCCTATATATAACTAAAAAAAATTAAAAAGAAAACACAAATATCAAAATGTTCGTTTCCTTTGTTTCTTTTCCTTTAGAAAATTTGTTTATGAATATCAATGCAAGACTCTTCATAATCTGCCTTTTTTTTTTAGATTTTTTTTATCAATAATTAAAGTTACTCTTAAATATTTGGGTTTTAGATTAAATTTATATTTATTGTATAAAATTTTTATTTATTGAATATTTTATTTTTTTCAATTTGATTTATAAAAATTATATCTAATAATTGTAATCTTATATATAACTATTTATTTTTATATTTGAATTATACATATCCGGATAAAAAATATATGCGTATTAAATTTTAATCAGACAGTGTGGATAGTTTGTACAATAGTTTTAGGAGCATTTGTTAGTAGTTGCGTGAAATGTGTATAAATATTTTTATAGAGCAAAGTGTCTTCGGTAACGGGACTTTTGTCGGCCCAACGAAACGGGACGGTCAGGTGGGAACATAGATACAATGCCGACGGAGTAAAAGGTACGGTGGTCGGTCCAAATCAATATATATGTTCCTTAAATTATTTTTATTCAATCCTTAACCATGCATGCGCATATAATTTATCATATATATATATTGAACATATTGTATTAGTCAAATCTTCCGAACATTAAATGGGAGACATTTATTCCTATTCTAAGACTTTGTAATTTCATTAAAAAGGGTATAACTAATGACACACTTTGGAAATGGGAATTAGTCATGTGATTTTTTTTTAATATGCAAGAATAACAAATTTTCAAACTTTTTAATTGAGTAGTGAAATTTTCTTATGTAAAGAGCATTAGATTCTATAGAGATGCAAATTTTGAGATGTATCATATATTTTTCTGTATATATCATATATATATATATATTGCTCTAATATATATATATAGCTACTTCGAACTAATTATTGGTTCTATATATATATATATAAACTATAATATTGAAAAAATTCAACAGTTGGTGGCCCAGTGGCTGAGAGGGGACAAAGTCATCCTCGAGGTCGTGGATTCGATTCCACTGGTGGGGAGGGATGTAATTTCTGGATCAAAATGGTTCATATACAAAGGCTGGTCCCGGACCTAGGATGGATGTAGTCGGGCCGATGGCCCGGAGAACCATCCTGGTTATAAAAAAAAACTATAATATTGGAAATTTATTATTTAAGCGATAATGTCAAATATAGACATATAAATATTGAAATACGAATCTCTTTCACATATTGAAAATTTATCAATATATTGAAAGGTTAGGATTCAGTTTTGCAAATTCACATATCGCTCGTAAGTTACAGTTAACTCATATACTATACGTTATACGTATTACGTATGTCGTAGATTCGTAAATGTGAACGAGAGTTTACCTAACTAACGCGTGCGAAAGTTAACCGTTAAGGTTTCAATGAAATTAAAAAAAAAATACGGATTGAAACATGTCCATAAACTTCATCCAAAAAAGAAACATGTCCACTACTATATAGTTTATATATTATATGGTATTGGGCTCTCGTAGTTTTTTCTAACGAACACCTAAAAAGACTACAAAATAATTTTAATTTATTTAAAATTTCCAAGGAAATCCCCCTCAAGGGTGTGCTAATTAAAAGACGTTGGGGGCATTAAAATAAATATACAACACAAGGATCATGCAAAGGCGTGCAACATGAAATTTAATAATATATATGTCGACATATCTCTGCAAACAAAAATGTCTTTTATCCATCATCCGAAATTTTACCAATTCGATATTGTCATTAGAACGGTTTATGCAATAGTCATGATATAAATTATTTTGTAACCTCAATTTTGTATTAATTGTTTTTTGGAAATTCTATACACTATTCAGAATTCGCTATTTCGTAAGTTATAACAAAATGTATTCGGACATTGTTCATGACATTTTCGTACATATTGATGGCCCGAGCAAATGACGAATATCTTAATCAAAATAGTTGATCGACATTCTTTTAATCAAACTCTCCATCTAATTTATTGGATATTTTTGATGATTTATATATTATAAAATATATGTACAAATGAAAAAAAAAAAAAGAGAACGCTTATTTTTTGTGTTAGGATTTTGTCGCCAAGCCTTACACTTACCACGCGACAAAATGCTTATTTTTTTTTTTTTGAAAGCGTATCATTCTGAGATACTCTTATGGAATCTTTGATGTTTTTGAGGATTTTAATAAAAATTTATCCTATCTATCTATACAAAATAACAGACACTTACAATTCTCATAAAAAATAATAGTTTATAAAGGTGGAATAAAAATATATATATAGAGTAATTTTTTGGGCTTTAGAGGGGATTTGAATTAGAGACCCAATAAATAAACTTGGGCCTGTATGGGCTTTTGGTGTTTTTATTAATTATTATTATATTATTATTGTTGTTGTTGTTGTCCGTCAAAATTTTTATATATAAACTCAGTCTGAAATACACACCTATATTGCTATTTTTATATGATTTATATATGCCACTTAAAATTTTGTATTATTTAAAAAAAAACGCAATACAATTTTCACCTGTACTACACAACCCCATGACACAAATCTGCATATTATCTTTAATACGAATACAAAAGTCATAATTAATTATACAGTGAATAATCTTAATATATTTATACACATGATATATATGATACAAAATCTATTTTTTTAATGAAATGCATTAATATTATATAATGATATTATGAATGTTATAAATTTAGCTTTATTAGATATTCATAAATAAATTCAATAATAAATATGTTAATTTAAGAGAAATTAAAACTCAATTTTTTTTAATTTTTATATAATAATAAATTTTATTTAAACATTAGTGAATTAATATGTATATATTTATGTATGCATATATATATATATATATATATTTATCTATATATATATATATATTTATCTATATATATATATATATTTATATTATATAATATATAATTTATTTATTTTTTCGGGCCGACGGGCCCGTATTTTTCGGACCGGGTTAGCCCAGCCCAATGGACGATCTGACTTCAATTTTCTAGGTCCAAGCCCGTAAATTTTACGGACGGATTCGGGCCGGATAACGAATCTCGGACTTTTTTGACACCCTTATATCCAGATGAGTTGGTAAGAATGGTCAATATATCGAGAGATTGAAAATTCGACTATTTGACTGTTCACCTATCGTCTGTCGGTTACAACCGATTTACTTTCCACGTATATGTTGCAAATTTGTGCATGTGTGTTTATAATTTATTCCGCGTGTCTTATATCTATCTCGTGGTGGTCGAATGTTAGGCGCATCAGCGCAAATGGTGATCAATTCGACTCCACACGTAAGAGTTGGGTAAGAGTGATGATTACCTACGTTACAAAAAAAATTTAATCTTAACTTAATAGTTTTCTTTCCTCCATATCATTAAATTTTTTTTATGCTACTAGTATCAATCCTTATCAATATTACTCGTATTTAATATAAGTTCGCCCATCTAATTAGACGAATTGTATTCCATTTTTTTTCATTTTCCATATTTGGAAATATCATTTTTTCTCAATAACGTTGGTTTGCGTGCCACGTCGTCATCGTACCGAAAACACATTTCGTATTCATCCGTTTATTGAGAGACTACAACTTCCTTTAAATGTATAAACATCATTCTTCTTCTTTTCCGGTTTCGGCTTTGGGGTAAAACTTACCTCTCTGTTCGAATTTTCTCTTCTCTCTCTCTCTCCAAAGTTTCATCGCCATGACTCTTTCTTCATCCGCAAATCGAGGTTCGTGTTCATCTCCCACTTTTTCCTTTTTATCTGCTTCCATGAACTTTTCTCCTTGAGCGATTGATCCAGCTGTTTTGTTCTCCGCTTCGGTCTTTCCCCCCGTCTTCCTGGATCCCGAGAAATCGACTAATTCTTTTTTTGGTTTGAGATTTTTGTTTTCCGTCGTGAATTGATGTGAATTTCCGATGGTTAATCTGATCAATCGTTTTTATGCAATCTTCGCAGTTTTTTTTCCTTTTTGGTGGTAATTGAATTTGAAGCGATTTTATGCGATATGTGCAAATTTTAGATTCACCGGTGGTTTCTTTTATACTGAAGTAGACGATCATAATTACTGAGGATATCTGAAATTTAAAGTACAAGGAACAAAAGAAGAAAGAAAAGAACCAGGCATAGAATCATCAGATGTTTTTTTTTATAAAAAGTTTGGCACTTTTCATATGATTTCGAAGATTAAGCAATTTGGTGGAAATAACGCGATTTGGATATTTTGGGGACTTTGATGTTCGTCTACGACTTCTCATATTGTCAACTGGGAGAAATTATGTTTGTAGATTATTCTGAGAAAAAGGGGAAGAGTTCTTATTTTGATCTGCCGTCAATGGACATCACTGATGCATTTCCTCAAGCAACTCCGGCGTCTAAATTTCCTCCATGCAGTAAGGACTTTCAACCATTGCTTGACGCTTGACTCTGAAATTTTTTTGAAAGATTTATGTATTGTCCAATGCCTCACTGGAACTTTTCTGAACTTAAACACTGTAACAGCTTCAGACTACTATCATTTCAATGATCTATTGACTCCGGAGGAACAGGCTATTCGGAAGAAAGTGAGGGAATGCATGGAGAAAGAAGTAGCTCCGATAATGGCGGAGGTAATTGTCTCATGTCGCTGTGCTGGGCGAGTTTGGACTTTCTCTGTTAACTTTCAGAGTGAAGTAGCTCATTCTGCCTTTGATTTATTTTCCTCAGTACTGGGAGAAGGCAGAGTTCCCTTTCCATATCGTCCCAAAGCTTGGGGCGCTGCGTGTTGCTGGTGGGACAATCAAGGTAAGTAGGGGTGCTTGTTTTTTGTGTTCTTGCGTGATAAAATTTGGAAATTTCGGTTTCTTTATTTATCTAGTTTGACTTCTCAGGGATATGGTTGTCCTGGTCTCTCCATCACTGCCACCGCAATTGCAACAGCAGAAATCGCTAGAGTTGATGCAAGCTGTTCGACTTTCGTTTTGGTGCATTCTTCTCTGGCAATGCTTACAATTGGTGAGATCTCCTCATCCCTTTTCAACTGATTTGATATTCGTCAATTTTGATGAATGTGAACACCATGCTATGCATAAACTTAATCGTGTGTACTATCTTCTACTGGTCAAGAATAGCCCTCTGTGGATCAGATGCACAGAAGCAGAAGTATTTGCCTTCTCTGGCTCAGCTGAATACAGTCGCATGCTGGGTGAGTAGTTTTGTCTTCAACTGTCTCGGCTTTACATGATTTTCTCGGCCCTTCAATTGGGGCGTATGTCTTGTAAACAAATTGACACGCATTTGGACATGCATATAGGCTTTGACAGAGCCTGACTATGGGAGTGATGCAAGCGGTCTTAGGACAACTGCCACAAAGGTCCCGAATGGCCTGATCTATCTCCTCCTTAAATTATGTTCTTGTATCCTTCCCTGTCCTATTTCTGCAATCATAAAAATGTCTTGGCACTTTATCTGCCTTCTCTGATCATCAGGTTGAAGGGGGTTGGATACTGGAGGGGCAAAAACGGTGGATAGGAAACAGCACCTTTGCTGATTTATTGATCATCTTCGCCAGAAATACAACAACCAACCAAATCAATGGGTATGTTCGATTTCTGGGTTTCTCAGATTTCTTCGAAGTAGGTATCTTGATGCAGATGCAGTATCTCAAAACCATATGAGCTAGGTTTCTCTTAACTTGGATGTGTATCTACTACTGAGTTTTGAAAGGAAAACCCGCTATTTGCATGCAAGAAGTAATGGATTTGATCACAAGGACATTTATATCTGCATTGGAAAATAACAAACTGTGCATTTTCTTTGCAGATTCATAGTCAAGAAAGACGCCCCTGGTTTAACAGCTACAAAAATTCCAAATAAAATAGGTTTACGTATTGTTCAAAACGGGGACATCCTCCTGCAGAAAGTCTTTGTGCCGGACGAGGACTGGATAACTGGGGTCAACTCGTTCCAAGACACCAACAAGGTACTGTTCCGATAAACTGCTTACAAGTCCAAACAATACTCTCGATCAAACGTAATACTGGCTCCTCATCCTTTACCTGTATTTGCCCACTTGGTTACACTTATGCGGATAGGTGCTGGCCGTGTCACGTGTAATGGTGGCGTGGCAACCAATTGGCATATCTATGGGAATCTACGATATGTGTCACAGGTGCTGCCGCCTTGGCAACAACATCTGCATTTCTTTGATCCTATTATTTTTCAGGCCTCGATTATTTATAACATTCCTTTCGGTGTGTGTGTGTGTTGTTTAAAGGTACTTGAAGGAGAGGAAACAGTTTGGAGCACCGTTGGCAGCTTTCCAGATAAACCAACAGAAGCTTGTACAGATGCTGGGTAATGTTCAGGCCATGTTTCTGATGGGTTGGCGCCTCTGCAAGTTATATGAGAAGGGCGAGATGACTCCTGGTCAAGCCAGCTTAGGAAAGGTATTATCTCAAAAACACCCCCCTTTCCTCCCCTTCCTATTTGGTTTGAGATCCTCCTTGATTCAATAAATAAGAGTTTTAAGGTGTCTGATTAGTTAACATAGTTACGACTATTTTTGTATAACAAGGGTCTATGGCCATCAATCTACAAAAGTGTTGTCAATACAAGCAAATGTTAAGATAGGGTGAATTAGAGAATAACGAGTGTTAGTAATGTGAACCAACTGAGTTGAAGTTAACGCACCATTTTGGTTAGAGAGAGATTCCTAATGGTGGAATGGTCTATCCAGACTATGTTAAAATTCAGACATTATAGCTCTAGCAGCTGTGATGACTTAGTGGTGGTAATAAAGCGGTTGGTAATGTTGATGGGTGTAATCAGGCATGGATTACGACGAAAGCGAGGGAGACTGCTTCTCTCGGACGGGAGCTGCTCGGTGGCAACGGAATTTTGGCAGATTTTCTGGTCGCCAAGGTGAAGAATTTGAACAGGCTCTTTGAATATACGCGCGTGTGTGTATATATATGTATGTATGTGTGTGTCCTCTATTGTGAAACCATCAATGAGGTGTGTGTGTATTATTCACATGCAGGCGTTCTGTGATCTGGAGCCCATCTATACGTACGAAGGGACTTACGATATCAACAGCTTAGTAACTGGACGCGAAGTGACTGGCCTTGCTAGCTTCAAGCCTTACGTCTCTAGGAGCCGACTTTAAAAGAGAGTGGTTTTCCTCCCCTTTTATCATATTATTATCACCAAAAACTCGGTTTCATGTAAAATAATGGGGGTAAATTTCAGCGTCTTCCTCTCGTCTGTTCAATGAAATTTCCTACGAGACTTGAAGGATTTTATGGGGTTTCCCAGTTTCGTGATTTTATTTTATTTTTTTTTAAAAAAAAACTGAAAAACAGAAGACGAGTGTAATGAACAAAGAGGTAGGTCAAGCTCGCGTTTTTATTCATGGGAACGAAGGGACAAAAGATACTAGGTGTTCAGAGGAGACGGCAAAGGCGGGGACGAGAACAGAAGTGCCTGCCGTTGGATTTGATGACGGCGACAACCCCAGCGGTCACTCCCGCCAACACTGCCGACGACACAAACTGCTGCGTGTTTCTTCCCGCTGCATTTCATCATATCATGACACGTGTCACCGTCAACCACAGTTTCTTCGTCTTTTTCTTTTTTTAATAATAACAAGAGAGAGAGAGAGAGAGAGAGAGAGAGAGAGAGAGAGAGAGAGAGAGAGAGGAGAGAGAGAGGAGGTACCTTGATGAATGGTGATAGAGGTCACTGTTATACCTCCGATCAATAAGGCTGATGCTACTGGCAGATACTGCTACCATTTACAAAGGAAATAAAAAATAAAAAAAATCCAGAAACTCCATAACCAACTACAACCCATTAACGATTTGGTTCAAATCTTTTGGGTGTTAAGTTGTTAAAGAAGAAGGAAGGGAGGGAGGAGGAGAAACATACAGAGGGTGACTCAAACACCTTGAGTTGTTGGAGAGGTGAAGGGCTGTTTCTGCTTACAGTGTATCTCCCGCTTATCAGGTCCAACGCATCCTGATTTCCATTCTCTCGTCAACTCTAAAAATTATTCCAACAAAAAAAGAAAAAGGGGAAGAGAGGCTTGCCTGCCTGATGCCGTCCTGGAAATTATTCAAATAGTATCTCGACAGTGCACTCATTCCGTCTCTGATTGCTCCAAACAGCGTCTGCTTCCCATACCTTCAGCTCAAACAAAAAAACATCACATTCCTTCTGATTTCTTTACATATACATATCTATATGTATACATAGGTGGTCACATCATGTTGTCTTTCTCGAACTCAACCTTAACACTAACACACTTCAATCTTCCCCGGCATAAGCGAGAATTTATACACTTTTCAAATCCTAAATATACTTCACATGCATTCTACCCATCAAACAGTAGTTTTTTTTGGGGGGTCTTTTTTGCTATTCATGTCGGCCCACTCTAAGGCCAGGACTGTGGTGATGGAACAATTACATAATTGATGTTTAGCAACACCTGTCAGTTTTCGTGTCGAGCAAAAAGATTCATTCATCAGAACACAGGCAGACATCTCTCACCTGACAAGGTCGCCCTTCAGAGCGTAGGTCCCCGCGTATTGCAGGCTGATCTCGTCCCCTTGCTCCGCCCAAACTATTAGTATCAGCCAAAGGCAAAAATAAATAAAAAATCAAACTTTCTCAAGAACACATAATAAATCATTGAGCTAGAAATCCGAGTCAGGACAATGCCTTAAAGCTTTAGAAAGGTGATAGCTCCTTACTTGTTCTGAACTTCGTGTACTCGTCCGCCAACATCGAGATACATTCCGTGGAATCAAATAATCCGATCCTTTGGAGTTGTAGGTTCAGAGACTTTTGAGCCAAGTAATTCTTTTCCAAATACGCAGAAAAGTCGTGTTTAGCAGCAGTTATAACGATTGGATAAGTGGTAGAAAACGCGTCAACAAGTGAATTAAACCTGGGTGACATTTGTGCGGTCAAGGCAATCGATGCAGTTAGATCTGACGATTCCTTTCTGCTCTTCTAGGATGTTCCCTTCTGCGTCTGCAAGGAAATATCTGCTCAGCTTGGATTAGTCCACAGCTGAAACAAAGATGTATGTGACCAACTAGCTGGCTAGCTTGATCATCTGAGTATTGTAATATATTAATAAGGAGTTAGTCGTGCAAAAACGTATATTAATTGATTATACCCTTGCTTCTCAAATTCATCCGCTATCTCCTCATACAGTACGTGTAAGTTGTCAAAGTTTGAGTTTCCGCATACGTGATGGAAATCAAAGGAGACATATCTGTGCCAAACATGTTAATTAAACTCATTAACTAATAGTCTCCCCACAATCACCCAATGGGTATCAGAGTAAAAGTGAGAACATAAATTTTACCTGACATTCGGAAGCCTCCGCATCTCAGTGGCGTAGGCTTTGCTTAATTCACCTTCATCTCCATGCTAAGGTACACAAAAGTGAGAACGTAAGTTAATCATACTATACAAGTTAACAAACAACAACAGGCTGAAGTACTTTCTCATAAAATCTTCAGTTCAATGTGTCATGCCCTATGCTTTTGTTTGCAATGAGGGGAGAGAAGAAATCAACCTTATCTGTTAAGTCAATAGCAATAGTTTCTCCATATCTTTGGAAGAGATCATGAAAATGGCGCTGCACGACTTTTGGCTGGAAGCAGAAAAACAAATAACTTAAGGTCGACTACAAGACATTACCAAAAACTCAAATTATCAGGTAAAACAAATTACCGTCTCTTCGTGATTGTTTATCTTAAGCCCTGGTTTATAGCTCAAATCAACAATCTGCTCCCAAAGAAGTGGAATCGAACCTCGAACCTAGCAAATGAAAGCAAGACGTACCATCGGTAAGAATTGGATGTGAAGAACTAGAGAACAGAAGGAACTGTGAATATGCTTGACACAAATCAACAGATGTAGCAAACAGTTAGGAAAAGGGTGAAATTCACCCTTTCGCTCCCTAATCTCCAGGTTATTTCATGAAAATTATTATGAAGTGGAAACAAGGAACTATGCCGCACATAAACCTTCCAAATCTATGAAGAAAATCCCCTAGAGAATTCTATATTATCAATGCAAGTATGTCTGTGGATACATTCAAATGTGCTGGTACAGATAAATAAGCCAGCGACAAGGTTTCTAGAACTGCCATTCTTTGAAAGTGGAAACATCATATAATCAAAATATGTTTGTACAGGAAGTGAAATGCTAATGAGGGAATACCTGTAATAATGAGAACATGAAATCATTAATCTCCAGTACTTGTTCAGTTTCGACAAAATTAGCAGTATCCCCTTCAAGATTGGCTCCTCTTCTCCACATTCGTGTACCTGAGATATCACTTCCAATACGGCTCTCAAATATTCATCTCAAGTATACATGACAATTTTAATTACACAAATTAAACCAGACCTAGACGCCGTGTACAACGCCTGGAAATTAATGTGATAGTAGCAGGAGAATTCTTGAGCTGTAGCTTAGCGACTTGAAAGCTTATATCTTGGTTAATCCAAAACAAAAAGAAATTATACATTGGAGGAACTTCCTATTAAAATGCATATTTAAAAGTTGTAGGAACACTTATATAAATAGTACAAGAAGATAGCAAATAATAATCATAACAAGTTGATAAAAAAGAACAAAGGATATTTCCTTGAAGGAGAGGAATTATAAAACCATCCAGCTGCCACAAGAAGAAGAGCCATCAGATCTCTATAGCTTCACAGGAAATAAGAAGGTCAGCGAATTTAATGTTCTAACTTTACACTCAATAAGTTCCTCCAGAAGATGTCGGTTCCAAACAAATCGAGGGTCTGCCTGAAACAAGAAGGAAGCCTCAACTAAATTAAAATCTCAAAACACTTCAGTAGATAAAAAAAGGATGAAGAAGGGAAACCAAGAACGTAATTTTGTGATTGTATTGTAACAGCCAGATAGACATTTAACCTGCTTCCAGAGCGGCTTACGCATCCAACCTTCCGCTAGCTTGTATCTTCTTTGCAGGCTGTCACAAGGATAAATGTGTCAAATAATTTTATACTGTCATAAATCCCAGTATGCAGTAGGATATACTAATCATAGAAAGTACTCAAGAGCGCGAGATAATAAACTTACTTTAGAGTTAGATCTGTTTCATATGAATAATACAATCCTGGGCTTGCCTCGACTGTTTGCAAAAGAGTCCTAAAGTAGGCTTCATCCCTCTTCTGCACGAGTAACAGTTTGAAGTTGCAAACAAGTTCTCCAAACAAATCATTCGATTATAAAAGCCAGAAAACGATAGATTATCATGTCATTTAAACTGTACAAAACCTTACTTCTTGAGAAGTTGCAAACCTCATAGCCTCATTGCAAGGGAGAAATCTCATTGAGACAACTCGAAAAACTGGGAAACCAAGGAAAGTCCCAACTTCCTTCCGAGATGTTATAACGAGCATGTATGTTCCTAAAATATGAGGAGAAAATCTGCATAAAAATCTCATGTTGGGCCCAAATAAATCATTGGCAACATAATTACAACCAATAGACTAAAGCATTTATCGAATTTGCAAACTTTCCAGAATAAGTTCCTGATAAGAAATAAGAGCATAGCAACAACCATTGTTAAAGAAGCAGATGAAGGGATAAAAAGCCCTGTTACCAATTGCGTCTTAGATCCAAACAGTTGTCGTCATGGCATTTAAGCAGAAATATAAATATGGAAAAATAGGGAGAAAATTTGCACCTGCAAGCAGCTTAATTGTTCCGCCTACCCCATAGATAGTAGAAACTCTGGAAGGAGTTCCAGAACATGAGTTTTCTGCAGTAGAGGGAAAAAACAGTAACATCGATACTGTTTTTCATTCCAAATACAATATAAAAAAAATACTTTTACAGACAAAAGTAAGTTAACGACAGACTATTTCAACGGCCCAAACGCAAATCATATCACCATTGATAAACAATAAGCTCTATGAATTGCTTCCATCATGAAATTAAGCGAAAGATCTACGAAACCAAAACATGCTTTTATATTCTCATCAAACAAAATAAAACCAGGAGCAAGAGGTAACTTGCTACGTTTTCTCACCAATCAAACAGGTAAAGGTAGAAACTAGCGAGGTTTCCGTAAATCCATAAAATGCTACGTTTTCTCGACAACCAAACAGGAATCAAAGAAATGTGAGCCGGGAGAGCCAAACAATACCGTCAAGAGGATCGATGTTGCCATCCCGTCGATTTATGTAGAAGCCATGATCAGGAGATTCCGAGGATTTGACGACGTACTTATCCGGAAATTCCAGAAGCTCCAACTGATCGTGCAGCTTGAATCTACTCGAAGATGGCGCGATCTCCATTAAAGCGATGCTCGAATCCGGGTTTCCCCCAAAGAAAAAGACGCTCAAGGTGAAATGATGGTAATGTACAGTTGGATTTATTATTGAGATGGACGCCAAGGATGAAGAAGGTCAAAGATTGTTCGTTTCGCGTTGACTTTTGCCACGTGTCCATTCATCGGAGATGGGCTTTTCCAAAACACGTTATTGGGCTTGAAACTGAGTTGACAAGTCAAGCCGACCGGTCGAAACTACGAGCTCCAGACCGCTCACGAAACTCTATGGTTCGGGTGCTATATATAGAAACATAACCCTCTTTTGCCCTTTAGCCTTTAGGGTTCTACTTGTACAGCTTACAATACAAACCTTTGTGGTCAAACCAATGGTTACAGCCTCTGTTCACAGAGCAAAATTCGCCCTCCATGGCCGTCCCATTGGAGCCAAACCAGAATTCTGATGCTTTAAGCCACCAACGGAACTACTGCTTGAACAGATCAGCAAGTTCGCCTTTCTCGTACATTGAGGTCAAGATATCGCAGCCTCCCACAAGTTCACCGTTCACGAACACCTGAGGAAACGTTGGCCAGTTGCTGTAATGCTTCAGTGTCTCCCTCAGCCCGTAATTGTACTCCTCGTCCAGCACGTCTACCGTTTCATATTCCACGCCTTGTCCCTCGAGAATCCCGACCACTCTCTGCGAGAATCCGCACAGTGGGGCACTTCTCGATCCCTTGATGAAAGCAACCACTTTGCTCTCCTTCACCAGTCGGTCAATGAGCTCCTCCAGTGGCACTGTGAGCTGGACATGGCGGCCTGGGGTGAGACGGATATCGGCCTTCTTCCTCGGGGCTTGCCTTACCCATGTGTTGTTCCCGGATTTGTTGCCCGGGGGCACTTTTCCGGTTACCTTTATGTGTTCTTCTATCCATGATTTCCATGCTTGTGTAAGAGCCGCTTTATCAGGCTCTTCTACTATACCGACCTACACCATGAGGAAAATATCGATGAATAGGAGTTATGAGACATGGAATGGAGTAAGAGGGCTCTTCGTCATTGAAATAAATCCTATGGTTTGGCTGTGGTTCCATAAGAATATGTAATTTCCATACAACACACAGACAAAACTTAGATAAGAACAAAGAATCTCGATATAGCCACCATGTGAGAGCTCTTAATATCCATATATTAAGGTATGTAATGTCCAAACTACTCGAGTTGACTAATGTAAGCCTTTGATCAATCCAGATCGAGATTCAGATGACATCTTAAGTTAAATTCTAAAACACACAAGTCATCTTAAACGTTAAATTCCTAGAATCTGTGGCGGTAATGGCATGCAGACATGCTTTCCACCAAAAGGGCAAGAAGAAAAACTCAACCAAAAGAACACATATATGGTGAAAACAATTCCAAGCTGACGAAACCAAAACATTGTACAGACAGAGTTCATGAGACCCAAAAACACTTGTAAGAAAACTTGATCATAAGTTCATAACTGCAAAAGATAGTTTCAGTTTCCATGGCTATAAGCTGGAGGTTTTCTGTTTTCTTTTTTGGCATCAATGGCATGAATTGTTAAAAAGGAATAGGCCGGAGGTGATGACCAGAATTCTGCAGATGAATTACCGAGCTCGGGTTTCAGGTAACAAGTCACCATGGTGACATATACTCAAATCATTCAATATTCCCAACAAAAGATGTAAGAAATCTATGATTGATTCCATCAAGCACTCCTTCAGCATCTATGCTACTTTTAATGAGATTTAGATTCTCAATCAGATCAAACTCCGTAATTAAAACAAAATCTATTTCTGGTGAAAAACGAAAGTTTTACCTTGACGGAGCCGCAAAGCTCCGGCACCGATTTCAGATGCGCCGAGACACTCGCCGCGATGTTACGCGAAATTCCGACGAACTGAAGCTCGCTGTCCTTATCGTACACTGCATAAACTCCGGAAGTAGCAGGGATCGCCTCCGCTTCCACAGCCCCGACCGGCTCCGTCTCCGACAGCGTCTTGACGGCGGAGGAGGAGATTACCAACGAACGAGAGCGGCCTGTACCACAGTGTCCAACGGAGATGGAGGGAAACGATAAGGATGGTCTGAATCGTGAATACAGAGAGAGTGCAGGGGTATTTCGGGAAACATGTGGAGATAAAACTCGGAGTGAGACGGAGGCATGGAGGGAGGAAGAGTTGATTGCCGCCATTGTCGTCCGTCTGCGAAATGATGGTCGTGTAATCTGTAACCTTTGGTATGCTGATCCGGCTATTCTGATTTGGGCTTTAATGGGCTCACACTCTTCAGGCCTGATAATTCTGTGTGGCCCAATAGAATTTTTGAGACCACGGATTCTTGTCTACAATGCGATGTGACGCCCAGGTGACAATTTAGGCCAAGGAATGTGAAATTAATCTCAACATTTATTACACATACTTGAATTTTATTTCGATTAAAGTGTTTAAAATTAATTAATATCAATAACAATGAGTATAATTATTAATTAACAAAATATCTAGTAACAAAATAAAAAATAATCGAGATAGTAAAACAAAACAAGGATATAGTAGATTTTTCACTCAAATAAGATACATGTAACCTACCAAATCCGGATAAAACTTTTCTATACTGAATATACAAATGGACAGTAATTTTACTATGATATATTTTTTTTAATTAAAAACTCTAATATTTGAAGAGGAAAATCAGATATCGTCGGGCCTCATACAGGGGTCGGGTCCCGACCCAGTACAAAGCCCATCTCTCGTCGGGCTTTGCCCTTTTCCCAAAGAAATCAGATCCACGGACATGATTACGCCACGTGTCATTGCATCTTCTAGGCCGCCAAAACTCCTCTGTAGACTTATCGGTTACTGTTTTCCCCCAAGAGCAACTGCCAGAGCTCACGCCACAAAACTTTCCACCGGCCACTTTTCCCGGCACCGAATACGTCGCCGTTTCTATGTCTTCGTTACTGAACTCCGTATCCTCCGTCGGAATATCTAGAGCCAGCTCCGGCGATCGTGTCAGAGCCTACGTTCCGAGTCGGAGTCCGGTTTCCGTCGAGTTCACTCGCCGGCGCTCTCTTTGGTCGACGGAGGAATTCGAAGCTTCGCGTACCTGCTATTCATCCCTTTCTTTCAATTGGTTATGTTAGCAATCAAATGATGTTTTTGATTCCGTCTTCTGACAGCTTTTTTTTTATCGCAGGGCGGAGATTGTCGGTGCGAGCGGTGGAGACTGATACGGACGAAGGTTTGATCACCGTTTGATTCCCCACTTGCTAATACCTTCGTGTGAAGTAGAATTTTGGTTACGTAGATTTATGCTAGGGTTCTGATATAAGTGCTGTTCGTCTGCAGGCAAATCTCAGGCACCGGACAAGGCGCCTGCCAGTGGTTCGAGCATCAACCAACTTCTTGGAATCAAAGGAGCTGCTCAAGAAACTGTAACTATGATGTTTTTCTTCTATTTCGGACATTTGAGTTTGCATGCATGACAAATGAACATATAAGAGAACTGTATCATCATATATCAGTGCATATTGCTGAAGTTGGAGATCGTATCACACTCTGGATTGGCAATTTGCTGAATTCCATATTTCGTTTTTTCCCTCCCTGGATATTCAATTCAGAATAAATGGAAGATTCGTCTTCAGCTTACGAAACCAGTCACTTGGCCTCCATTGGTGTGGGGAGTGGTCTGTGGGGCTGCTGCTTCAGGTAGTATCCGAGCTTCATTTGTCCGAGATTCACACTGTATGAGGTTTTCCCCAGTGTCATAGACTTATAGGTGTGGTCTGTTCACCAAGAATCTTTTTTCCCCCCCCCCCCAAGAAATTTCTACTTAGATCAAATTATGAATCAGATATCTCCGACATGTCTCCAACGGATTTCAGAATTAGATCTTCGGTTACTTTAACAATATTCCTTGACATTGTCCCTTCTTTCAGGGAACTTCCACTGGACTCCTGAGGATGTTGCCAAGTCAATTGTTTGTATGTTAATGTCTGGGCCATGTCTTACTGGCTACACACAGGTCTGGTTCCTGATAACCGAAACCAAACCTGTGCTAAAGGTAGTGTGCTTGTTTGTGCTGAATAACCTAGACTTGTCTTGCCATGTCATTCTCAGACGATCAATGACTGGTATGATCGAGAGATAGATGCAATTAATGAGCCCTATCGTCCTATTCCATCTGGAGCAATAGCAGAGGGAGAGGTACTAAGACAGCATACAGGAGCACGATATTGTTATTAGCTCATTTCGTTTTTGTTCTGATTACTTCTCCCCATCTTCATGCCCCAAAATGCAGGTTATTACCCAAATCTGGGTGCTACTTTTGGCAGGTCTCGGGTTGGCTGGACTTTTAGACGTGTGGGTATGTCATATAGATTAATTATGTATGCTAGCAAAATGCTGGGACACACCAGATGAACTAAACCCTTGTTTTTCAGGCAGGGCATGACTTTCCGACGGTCTTCTATCTTGCTTTGGGTGGATCCTTGCTGTCCTATATATATTCTGCTCCACCTCTGAAGGTAAGCGCTGTTCCAGTCCTGCAGTGTCAAGACCATCTACTTCCCTCCTCTGAGTGAAAAAGAAAATGGGTTTCAGAGTTTTGGATTCATGAATCTTTATGCAGCTGAAACAAAATGGTTGGGTTGGAAATTTTGCACTCGGAGCGAGTTATATCAGCTTGCCATGGTAAGATGTATCCTGCTTTATTACATTGGATGCTCTTGAAACATAATTTATTTTTGCCTACTTCATTTTGCTTTTTCTCTGATTGATAGGTGGGCTGGCCAAGCATTGTTTGGAACCCTTACACCAGACGTCGTTGTCCTCACACTCTTGTACAGCATAGCCGGGGTACTCTTCTAACGATATGTAAATGCTTTTCTTGTTATCCTGTACGAGAATAATGGTATACTTTGGCAGTACATTACATCCTTTGTATGTTATTGCAGTTGGGTATAGCCATTGTTAACGACTTCAAAAGTGTTGAAGGAGACAGGGCATTAGGGCTTCAGGTAATCCTTATTTCCCTGAATCAGCGTGTACTTTCCTATTTTGTTGGTGATTCACCTGACTGTTTCTTTTATGCTGAAACTGACAGTCTCTACCAGTGGCTTTTGGCACTGAAACTGCTAAATGGATATGCGTTGGTGCTATAGATATAACTCAGCTGTCTATTGCTGGTACGTAATATTCCCTAGCTTTGTGCAAATGCAGTTTCTATTTTCTTTTGTTCCTGGATCTGGAAATGCCTGTATGAAAGTGAAATTCACGCTTCATACGATGCATTCTATATCCTCTCAGTAACCAAATAGGCATCACTAGGTCTTGAGATAGAACGATTAGGAGAAAAACCAAATCAATACAACTCAACGATTTTCCCTCAATTCTTGGTGGGTTAAAGATTCTAGCTGTGAGAACCTGGAGAGTGCCCTATTAAGGCAACCATGGTAACATGGTGATCTATTCCTATGTTTTCTTTGATCAAAGATATTTCTAGACTTGCAGCAACATGAAGTAAGGAACAAGTGCAATTTCTTGCAGCCTTCTTAAAAACTAGATAGATTCTAGATCACATAGTGCACCTTTTCGGGTGGGGAAATTGTTGCGTATATTTTATAGCTCAAAAGGGAAGGTTGGAATGTCGGCAATAATGCCATAACCAGAGAGAAATAGAGAAATTACTGTCGAAGAGCAAATGACCGACGGATCTCCATCATCTGAACTGCATAGGGGGCATCACAAAGAACTTGCTCTTTTTTATGAGTGGATACGATGCTTTGCAATTGTTATTGGCTTCTAGAAAACATATCTATTTGCATGTATTCCATTTTCTTTTTTAATTACAGGCTATCTGCTTGCATCTGGTAAACCGTATTATGCGCTAGCGCTGCTTGCTCTAACACTGCCTCAAGTTTTCTTCCAGGTAAGGATGGTAAAATCTCCTCTTGTCGCCCAACTAGCTCATTCTTTTCCTAGACTGATTTGGATGTTGTTGTTTTTTTTCTGTGAACTGCAGTTCAAGTACTTTCTCAAGGACCCTGTCCAATACGACGTGAAGTACCAGGTAAACAAAAGTCTTATCTGTATATTTACACTAATACCCGCAAATGAAAATGAAATGAACTGTGTCAAAATTTGCAAAATAAAACATTGTGTATTGTTGATAGAGGAATGAGTTTAAATTCCTAATTCGTATTATAACATGATAGAAATCACACTAATATCTGAACTTCATACGGGTACGAATACGAACTGAAACTCTTTATAATTCTCGATAAACCCCCAAAAACTAGGGGACGAGGTTATTCTGCTAGAAATTGAATCTTGTCTCAGGAGAATCTCATGTGGTTGTAATATATGTACGGAACATGCTTCAGTCTTGGGAGCTGACTTAGTATGGGTTGGATGACAGGCAAGCGCGCAACCATTCCTAGTGCTTGGAATATTCGTGACCGCATTGGCGACGAGCCACTGAGTGAAGATCCTGAACCTGTGAGGTACGCTTCTCAGATGGTAAAAAGTTAAAATTTTGAGTTTGATCAAAAATAAAAAGGGGCTTTTTAATCCGTATGATCGAATGTTGTTGGCTCAACTATATATAGCATATCCCTAAATCTTTGTTTTTGTATGTCAAAATTGTAATATTTGTAACGTAGGTGTCTTTGTACAAGCTCTGACCTTATGTTCCGGTAACATAATATTAGTCTTTGGCATAAAACGGTACCGTTTGTTTTTGTCTTTATAGTTTGTTTTATTTTACTTTGGACTTCATACAAGTCAACTCCCGCCTCTCTGGAAGGTCAAAATTAAAAACCCATGGCAAATGATAGTTTGGGATCTGAATTAAGTTCGAGGATTTATTCAGTTGTTGCAAGTTTGGGATGTGAATAAAGGTTTATTTATATATATATTTTTTTGCAAAGTTCGAAGTTTTTTTAGCGGTTTTATTCTGAAAAAAAATAATTGCACAAACGTACGGTACGGATTTGAATCGGTCCTAGTAGAAGAATGGGCTCATTTTGCTTAATGGGCCGAATTAGGCAGCCTTCGTTCGATCCAGGTAGGGTCGAGGGACACGTGGCAGAATATAAAACGAAAGACAGAATGTTTGTTCTGTTTTTTTTTTTTTAACCCATTTTGATTTTCTTAAACCCTAGCGTGGATATCTTGAATTTCTTCTTTTCCATCCGTTCGATCTCTGTGATTTTTTTCGGAGATGAGCTCGGACGACGAGAGGGAGGAGAAGGAGTTGGATCTCACTTCTTCTGAGGTTGTCACCAAGTACAAGAGCGCTGCCGAGATTGTTAACAGTAATTCTCCCCCTTTTTGTCCCCTCTCGTGTTGTTCTATCACCAAAACTAGCTAACATTTTCGCGCGCGTATGTTTTTCCTGAATCTGCATCTGATTATTGGTTCTTCGTTATTGATTTCGCATCGAAATGGCAGAGGCGTTGCAGCTTGCCGTGTCAGAATGCAAACTGAAAGCCAAGATTGTTGACATCTGTGAGAAGGGAGATGCGTTTATCAGAGAGTGCGTATATATTTGTATTCAATCATGTTTTACGAGCTTTTTTTTTTAATAATTCGCTTTTCAGTTGTGTTTTTTTGTTTGTTTGTGTTATCTGTTCTGTGTAAAGGCAAACGGGAAACATGTACAAGAATGTTAAGAAGAAGATCGAGCGAGGTGTCGCTTTTCCAACATGCATCTCTGTCAACAACACCGTATGCCATTTCTCTCCGCTTGCTAGCGATGAGACGGTTCTGGAAGAAGGTGATATGGTGAAAATGTAAGTTTTCTTTGGATCCCATTTCGTGTCTTAATTGCATGTCTTGCTTTTCTTCTATGCATGGAGAAACAGTGTGGGTGTTGCGTCAGTACAAGTTTCTGATGTCCCGTCGGCATTATATCTATTGCAGTGATATGGGATGTCACATTGATGGGTTCATTGCTGTTGTTGCGCATACCATTGTTCTTCAGGAAGGTCCGGTAACCGGGCGTAAAGCTGATGTTATGGCCGCTGCAAACACTGCTGCTGAAGTTGCTCTAAGGCTTGTGAGGCCCGGGAAGAAGGTATATTCCATTTGTTTGTGATGAATGGCTTCTCGCCCTCGCATGTATATGGGTGTATATATATATGCCTGTATGTTAGATGTGTTCTGAAGAATGGCTTTACTCTTACAATTTTTACTGAGGTTGGCGTTTCTTGTGTTGATACATAAGGTCTTCACATTGTTAAATTTTTTTATTTTTTTTTATATTTTCAAACTATGTCAGCTTCCTGATAAATCAAAGTTTTATAGCAGCAGAAGGAGATTTGGAGAAATGTATCTTGTTTATTTCCAGGCCTTTGTCTGTTCTGCATGCAATTCAATGTGACGAAATCCTTATTTAGATATGGATCAAGTTTCAATCGATGTCCATTTCTGCTCCCTCCAGAAGATTTTGATGCCTGGTGTCCCCAAGGATGTATATTAGAAAGCTATGTATTCTCACCCGAATGAAGATTTATGTCAAAGTTACTATTTTTCTTGTAATTATCTTGATAATTTGTCGAGTGTATAAGCTACTTGCTGTTTACTCATCCATTCGAAAATGCTGTAGTAAAGGTATCATTAACCAGACATCCGTCTTACTGTAACAGAACCAGGATGTAAGTGAGGCTATCCAGAAGGTAGCTGAAGCTTATGACTGCAAAATCGTAGAAGGTGTTCTTAGCCACCAGATGAAGCAGTTCGTTATAGATGGAAACAAGGTTGTCCTCAGTGTATCAAATCCAGATACAAGGGTTGAAGATATGGAATTCGAAGAAAACGAAGTCTACTCGATAGATATTGTTACAAGCACCGGCACCGGCGACGGAAAGGTAAATTGAACTGCCGATCTCATTCTGACCACCCATATATATGTCAGCTTTGTCTGAATGACCCCTTCTGAGAACTACAGCCGAAGCTATTAGATGAGAAGCAAACAACTGTCTAGAAGAGATCTCCGGAGAGAAGTTATCATCTTAAGATGAAAGCTTCGAGATTCATCTTCAGCGAAATCAATCAGAATTACCCACATTTTCCATTCACAACGAGGTTTTTTTTTAGTTATCACTTCTCATTGCCCGAAAAATCATATCGACCTCCAAACGTTATTGAGATTATGTAACAAAAAATATAGGGTTCTGGAGGAGAAAAGGGCGAGACTTGGACTTGTGGAATGTGTCAATCATGATCTATTGGAGCCATATCCTGTTCTGCACGAGAAACCCGGTAAGCATTTCACTGATAATACACTTAAAACTCAGGAAACTGCAAATTGCAATGGTGGGGCTAAATCACATTGGATCTGTTCCTCCTCGACGATGGTTATTTCCAGGGGACTTTGTTGCCCACATTAAATTCACGGTACTGTTGATGCCAAACGGTTCGGATAGGATCACCTCTCGTCCACTTCAGGAGCTGCAACCGATGAAGACGATTGATGATCCCGATATCAAAGGTTGGTTAGCTTTGGGTATCAAAACAAAGAAGAAAGGCGGTGGGAAGAAGAAGAAAGGTACGGCCCCCTTGTTTTTTTTTACTCTCGAGTAGGAAGCAAATGCGGGTTTTAGTCATTTCGGTACGTTGTATAACGGATTCTGCCCTGCATTTGGGTTTGAAAATTGCAGGCAAGAAGGACGGAGAAAAAGCCGGGGAGATGACAGGAGAAGGAACTCAACAATGAGAGCGAGGGTTTCTCTTCTGGTACCTCCATTGTTATACAGCCTTGTTTTTTTATTTAGAAAATAATTGACGCAAATTTGGTAATAATTTTTTTATTTTATAGCTAGGACTAATAAGCGAATAAACCCAATTCAATTATACTGTTATTGTTTATTCGGTTATAATTTTTACTGAATGTTTCAATCTAGAAAAATCGAGTGTAGTAGGTCTATTTTCTTCTAAAATTGAAATAAGCGGAATAATGTCCGCGTAAATGGTTTGAGCTGCCAGATGTCAAGCCCAATGGGCTTGCGCCCCTCTTTAGCGTTTGTAAAAATGGGAGAGTGGCTCGTTTCCATTTGTTTTAATGGGCCCTTCAGTAGGCCCATCACGAGTTACGCGTTCCCTTTGTTTCTGGAAGCTTTTGGTCCGAGCGGCCCAATATTAAATTGACACGTCAGCGGGGCTTATTAGCAAAATCAGTGAAATTTAATTCAACTTGACAAGAGTTATTACAAGGAAAAAGGTGGCGAGAGTCTTACCATCAACAACTCCTTGGTTTTCCTGAAAACTGGCCACTGTCTGGTCCCATTATTGCATGTGACATGGCACATAATGTCATTACTTATTTATATGTTTGTGTATCTGTGCATGTTTAAAGAAAAAGTATATTGGACTGTCGCACGATTATTTTTTATTATTATAAAGTACTAAGAAAAGGTAGTAATAATTTAGAAAATAAATTGACGAAACTGGGGAAAAGAAAAAGAAAAACCCAGAAATGGACACGTGTTACTTGGGCGACACTCGTTTCCAGTATGTTCTAATATATTAACCCCTCTATTTAGTGGTTAATCACTCTAATAATTAACCCGTAATTCTCGCTTATGAAACAAACAAAACACGCACCGCCCACAGGTACCGTAAACCCCCTTTGCTCTCTTCTAGTGGCGGTACTACTTTCCTCCTAAAACCGCTTATTCCTCTCCATCCATCCATCCATCCATCCATACATATATATATTCTTCTCATTTTCCTGTACTTTTCTACTACTTTCTGTTTGTTTCTCGAGAAAAAAAAATTCAGCGTTCTCAATATATAATTATTCTCTGTTTCTACTGTTGCGAAGAGTGAGACGAGAGCCGACGCAATGGATACTAAGATCGGATCTATAGACTCGTGTATTCCGGCGAACGACGACATCGGCGGTTCTCCAAACGGCGGCGTTTCCGTCATCCAGAACTCGGGGCCACCGCACTCCGTCCCCGTGAGTCCCTGCGACGCGACGCTCGGTCGCCACCTCGCGAGGCGGCTCGTCGAGATAGGCGTCACCGACGTCTTCTCCGTTCCGGGGGATTTCAACCTGACGCTACTCGACCACCTGATCGCCGAGCCGCGGCTCAAGCTCGTCGGTTGCTGCAACGAGCTTAACGCCGGGTACGCTGCCGACGGTTACGCGAGGTCTCGTGGCGTCGGCGCCTGCGTCGTTACGTTCACCGTCGGCGGACTGAGCGTCCTGAACGCGATCGCCGGTGCTTACAGTGAGAATCTACCTGTCATTTGTATCGTCGGTGGACCGAACTCTAACGATTACGGGACCAGCAGGATTCTTCATCACACCATTGGACTACCTGATTTCAGCCAGGAGCTCCGATGCTTCCAGACTATCACTTGTTACCAGGTAAAACCATACATTACTTTTTTGAAATTTCACGATGCTTCATCCTTAGATTCTTATTCTTGTTTCTCGGATTTGTTTAAATTGAATTTGATTTTCGAAATCACTGAAGCGTTTCTGGGTTTGTGTGGTTGTTTCATACCGTAATAGGCTGTGATCAACAACTTGGAAGATGCGCATGAACAAATCGACACAGCGATTTCGACCGCTTTGAAAGAAAGCAAACCAGTTTATATCAGTGTAAGCTGCAACTTGCCTGCGATTCCTCATCCGACGTTCAGTCGCCATCCCGTCCCGTTCTCGCTTTCTCCCAAGTAATTTCAATGTTTTTCTGCATTCAATTTTAGCTAATTATTGTCTACTTTACCCTAGCGTGTATACTTAGTGACTGAATCATCTGGGTTTGTGGCAGATTGAGCAACCAGATGGGACTTGAGGCTGCAGCAGAGGCAGCTGCTGAGTTCTTGAACAAGGCGGTCAAACCAGTTATGGTGGGTGGCCCCAAAATGCGAGTCGCAAAGGCCATGGAAGCCTTTGTTGAGCTAGCCGATGCGTCTGGATATGCCCTCGCGGTTATGCCATCTGCTAAGGGACTAGTACCCGAAAACCACCCGCATTTCATCGGAACGTACTGGGGAGCCGTGAGCACTCCCTTCTGCGCCGAGATTGTTGAATCCGCAGATGCATATGTCTTTGCAGGTCCTATTTTCAACGATTACAGCTCGGTCGGATATTCTCTCCTTCTCAAGAAGGAGAAAGCAATCATCGTGCAGCCTGAGCGTGTTACCATCGGTAACGGGCCTTCGTTCGGATGTGTTCTCATGAAAGATTTTCTTAGCCACTTGGCCAAGCGATTGGCGCATAACAACACAGCCCATGAGAATTACCACAGGATATATGTTCCGGAAGGGAAGCCTTTGAGAGGTAACCCGAAGGAGCCCTTGAGGGTTAACGTTCTTTTCCAACACATTCAGAAGTTGCTGTCTGGGGAGACTGCTGTAATTGCTGAGACAGGAGATTCTTGGTTCAATTGTCAGAAACTGAAGTTGCCTGAGGGATGCGGGTAAATAGCAACAAGTAATCTCACATTGTCAGCCCTTTTAGCCTTCATGCTTATATCTATTTTTTTTTTCCGGATACACAGGTACGAATTCGAAATGCAATATGGATCAATTGGTTGGTCCGTGGGTGCGACACTCGGTTATGCACAAGCTGTGCCCGAAAAGCGCGTCATTGCTTGCATCGGAGATGGTAGTTTCCAGGTACTAAGCAGAAACCACAGTCTTTAGGTTGTGGACAAGGCCTTTTTTTTCGAAATTGTTGATTGTTTCCATCCATCAAGTCTGTAATTGGGATTTCTCCGCGTACAGGTAACTGCACAGGACGTGTCGACGATGATAAGGTGTGGGCAGAAGAGCATAATATTCCTGATCAACAATGGAGGGTACACCATAGAAGTGGAAATCCACGACGGCCCTTACAATGTGATAAAGAACTGGAACTACACTGCCTTTGTAGACGCCATCCACAACGGGGAAGGCAAATGCTGGACGGCCAAGGTCAGTTATACTCATAATCTATATCATATGCATATATGTATAAACCCATGGCATGAAATTCTGTACTGAGAGGGGAGGGTGAATGGCACAGGTAAAATGCGAGGAGGAGCTGATAGAAGCTATAAACACGGCAACGAGCGAGGAGAAGAAGGAGAGTTTATGCTTCATAGAGGTGATAGTTCACAAGGACGACACTAGCAAAGAGCTCTTGGAGTGGGGCTCGAGAGTTTCCGCCGCCAACAGCCGTCCCCCTAATCCTCAGTGAGGTTTTCTTCTCTGTCTGAATTCAGTTTCTGATGTTACCCGCACTTGTCTTCTGTCTTCCGTCTGTGTTTGTCGAGTCGTAATAAAATGAAGTGGAGAGTTTGTTTGTTATGGACTGAATAGAAGTTTGTCAACATGAACGTTGTACCATGTTCTCCATCGGGGTTTTAACCCTAATAATCCACTTGGGTCGCAGCAATTTCAGGGTACACCACCGAAAAAAAAAAAAAATTTTGCGACCTTATACGACTAATATATAACTAATATACAACTAAAATAAGAGTAGTTTATTAGTCGTAATAAGTTGTATATTAGTTATATATTAGTCGTAATAAGATCGCAAATTTTTTTTTTTTTTTCGGTGGTGTACACTGAAATTGCTGCGACCCAAGTGGGTTATTTGAGTAATATTCCCTTCTCCATCTGTTCCACGGTTCGAGTGAGCCAATGAAGATCCAAAAGCAGCCGAAAACGAACCCTAAACCTGCATGAACCTTCTGCATCATCCAGAGGCTTCTGACCCGGTGCACAAAGTGTCATTAGGCGGTTCAGTGTTCGGATCTTTTTTGCAGTTTTTCTTATTTGCCTTTTATTTTATTTTTGTCCGCGGGGAAGAAAACCCCGTAAACGTCTCTCAAATTCAATCTCGGTTTTCTCGAGAAAATTCCTGGGGAAAATTCTCCCTTGCTTTTGTCGGAAAATCCAGGGAATGGCCGCCAGGCTCCTCACTCCGTCGAAGCTCTCAAATCGTTCATTCCATCCAAAGAAACCCTCAAATTTTCTCTCTCATCAAATCTCCGCCGCCATTGATTTCATCCGCTATCCACCGTTATTCCACATCCGTCTCGAACGTCCTCCTTCACCATCCTCCGCTCTCTCTCCACCATCTGACGCGGCCGAAGAAAGTCGACATCGGCAGTCGGCATCGTACGCGTTAGCCTTCAGCTGCGTCGCTGGGTTCGTCGTCATCGTGCTCAACCAGTTCCAGGACCAGCTCGTCTTCTACGTGACGCCGACGGACGCAATGGAGAAATTCTCGGAGAATCCCACGAAGAAAATCCATTCTTCTTTTTCGATTTTAGCATTTGGGTATTGTTTGTTTCCCTTTAGGGTATACAGTAGAAATCTTGGCTTTCGGGAATTTCTTCCGGTGAACTGATGAAAGGGCAAAACCAGAAACATCTCTCAGTTCATAGTTATTTACAGATCTTGTCTGAATTCAAATGCTCGTATGATCAATCTTTTATTCTCAGATAAAAAAAAAAGACATAAACTTGTATTATATACAAATCATGGGCACTAGTCAAAATACACACCGTACGAGTATAATTGCATTTGTTTTGGATCATCCTCCATGACCCAACACAAATATCACAAAACAATGGTGACCCCTCTTGCGCCAGGAACATAACGAGGATCCTCCTCTCTTTCAAACTGATTAGACGGCGACCCGTTTCCCGTCCCGTCGTGTCTTTCCCCGTCGCCGCCCCACAGAGCGTAGGCCTCTTCCCCGTGGGCGGCATCGTCCCCTATCCCGAGCTCCTCGTCCGCCATTCTCAACGGTATGAACATCTTTATGACCAAGAGGATGACGGATGTCGAGACAGCGTTCCAGGCAGCGATGAAAGCGGCGGCCGCAAGCTGTTTGAGGAGGAGAATGCCGCCGTTTCCGCCGTAGAAAGCTCCTCTTGTGTTGGGAACCGGCAGTAACAATTGGCATAGGGCTGGATGCGCAAATAGTCCTGTCTGAATCCCTCCTAGTAGACCGGCCACCGCATGTGTGTAGAACACTGCCAATGTGTCATCCACCTATATATATATATATATGTATGTATGTATATAAATGGGTGTCCGACCATAAGAGAATACGAGTATTTTTTTTTTTTGGGAGGTCAAACCTTTTGGAGGAGAGAAGATTTCTTGTGGAGAATCATCATAGAGGCCCATGGGACGCTTCCTGAGACTACTCCCATTATGATTGCAGCCCATGTCTGCACCACTCCTACACCACATTAAATAATTTAGCCCATATTCTAATAAAATTTTATGTAACTAATAACTATATTAATTTATATAAAATGGACAGGAATTCGAATTCAATCCCAAATATCTAAGATTTTATGAGATATTATTGTGATTTTTAGATTTCGGATATATGCACCAAATTTTAAATATAAAATTTTGATTTTTTTTTTCAAAATTAAAATTATATATTAAGAGTTATTTGGATCGAGTGTTCCGAATTTTCGAATTAACTAAACCTTAATTCGAAATCTAATAAGTTTCTATTAATTTCCAAGAGAAATATCATTTTTTATAAATACAGAACATTTTATCTCGAATTCAATTATCAGAACCCAAATTCAATTTCCCATGTCCTCTATCTAATCTCAAACAATTGTTTCGAGAGAGAGAGAGAAGTGATGACGCTAACCTGCGCCGGGGGTGACGACGGCGAGGCCGGTGACCATGCCCTGGATGGAGCCGATGACGGAGGGTTTGCCGAAGAAGAAGACGTCGAGGAAAGTCCAGACGAGGAGGCTGGTAGCGGCGGAGACGTTCGTGTTGAGAACCGCGATAGACGCCGTCACGTTGGCGGCGTACGGAGCTCCTCCGTTAAACCCCGACCATCCCATCCACAGCAGCCCCGCCCCCGCCAGCATCATCAGCACGTTGTTCGGCGGGAACCTCTCCCTGTCCCCTTTCGGCCTCGGCCCCACCTGCCATGGTCAAAATCGACCGGACACCAAACCATGTCACGTTTTCCTTCGACCGAGTCATGCTACTTTGATTGACCAAATAAATCTCAAAATCGAATATTCGATTCGATCTCCAAATCAGATATCAGATGTGACATTCATATATTTCGATTCAGAATCTTTCGTTCCTTTCTCCTCTAGGGTTAGCGTTAGGGTTTTGTAATGGAACTGTGGAAAAGGGAATGGGACGTACCCAATAAGCGGCGACGAAACCGGAGACACCGGAGGAGAGATGGATGACGTAACCGCCGGAGTAATCGATAACGCCCCAATGGTAAAGGAAACCTCCTCCCCATAGGCTAAAGGCTCCGACCGTGTAGCAGAACACTAACCACAACGGCACGAATGCCATCCACGCCTTTATGTTCATCCTTCCCAACACCGACCCCGCCACCAGTATCGTCGTTATCGCCGCGAACGTGAACTGGAAGTACACCAGCGACGCCATCGGGAACCTCGGCTCCGTCCCGTGCTCCAATGTCCCGTTCCTCGAGTGCCGAAAGCTCTCAGGGATCTGACGCCGATTCACGACATAAATGGTTAGAATAAAGTGTTTTCTATCTGAAAATACAAGAAATGATTGTTTTGTCAACAAGGGAAAAAAAAAACCTTGGCTTGTTCTTTGAGGAAACCCTGGTCGAAAGCAGGACCGCCTTTGCCCCAGAAGGGCAAGAGCCGATCGCCAAACGCCATTTTGAAGCAGAGGATAACCCAACAGAGAAGGACGGCGGCGAAGGCGTAGAGAGCCATGAAGGCAGAATTCACTGCCCATTTCTTCTTCACTATGCTCGCGTACAGTATCACCAGTCCCGGCATGCTCTGCAACCCCACCAGCGTCGCCGCCGTCATCTGCCACGCGTTATCTCCTTTGTCCAGCCACTGCGGCGCCGCCGCCGTGAAAGCTCCGCCGCCGGAATCCCCCATCGTTGCTCGCTTTTCCGGCGGTTTCCGCTGGTGGGTTTCTGGGTGCCTGTTTGTTATCGTCAATATTGGTGGCTGCTCCTGCAGATGGTAAGAGGCATGTGTGGGGATGTATGAATGATAACACCGTTGACTTGAAGAAGAGTAGAAAAGTCGTCTCTAAGTCTTTTGTTCTTGTTGGTGGATGGGGGCTTCTCCTACTCATCATCATGGGACCATGACATTTCGTGGACATGTCCATGTGAATATATTCTTTGATTAGTAAATTATGTATAATTTCAATTAATTTAATTCCTTTGATGACTAAGCCCAAATTTACTTAATACTTCGATGTGTCGGTTGAAACTTGTAAATTATTGTGTTGTTATGTAATTTTAATTATATAATGGATCACTCGTATTCAAATCAGTTACATACATGGGTGGACCCAATTACTCTATAGTGGGGTCACACCCCCACTCCTTGAAAAAAAAATTGTGTTCTTTATAAATTTTATGTAAAATTATTGTATTACCCCCAATAAAATTAAATGTGTACTTAAAAATTATATGTGCATTACTAATTTACTAGTGACTCCATTTATAAAATATTTTGGGTCCGTCACTAGTTATATATATATATATATATATATGATATTTAATAAATGGAAATAGGAGAGTAGATCTTTTTAAAAATTCTTGAGATGGTGATGTGATTGGATCTAGACATGGACATGTCGTCCGCCTAGGAAGATTTTGACCGTCGCCAGTCAACACACGCTCTTTTGGAATGTCGGAACGGTCAAAATCCAAATACCAGAGTGAAAATTGATGTTAGAATTATCAGCGAATGAATAGGTTCAAAAACCTTGTAGAAGAAAATTATTCCGACAAAGGAAATAAAAATATGGAAAGAAAAAGGAATGACAAAATTGAAAACATATGGATCTCGAAAGAAAAACGTGACAAATGAATAATAGGCAATTGTATCCAATATATTCAACATAAATCAGAAAAAAAAAATATTTAAAAGAATGCCCATGAACATGGATTGATTTTATTACAGACCCGTTACCCACATAAAAAAAAATAATCCAAGGAAACTACCAAAAATATGCTGATAAAACAAAAACAAAAAAACAATCAAATATACGTGGACGGATGGAATATGATCATATCGTATAGGATTTAGATTCTATGGGCTCTAATATGAAGGAAAAAAGCCCGTTTAGCCCACATTTTATAAATTTCATTGGACACTAGGCCCAGAAACGCAAATTCTTGCAAAAAATATGAAATGGACTTAATGGGCTTCGATGATTTTATAGAGATCCAATTCATGGACAATTTTTTCCATAATATATATATATATATATATATTATATTTTAAAACGAGAGGTTGACCTGAACCTTCGATCCAAACTAAATCTCTTTAGGTTCGGGAACAGCCTTTAGAGTAAGGGTGTAGAGAGTAACACCCTATCCCTCCCTCCCCATCAGCTGGTTTTGAACTGACGATCAAAGTCCAAAGAGCAACACTCGGTCATCCACTGATGGGTCAATTAGATATTTGCTGGATCAATTAGATATCACTGCGACGACAAAAACTCTTTATATATATATATATATATATATATATA